CATTTGAGCGTATTAATTAGAAATGTGGTAATGCTATTGCAAGCTTGGACAGTTTCTGAAAACCCTCTCTTTTGGTGTGTTCAAGGGCTTTTGGGTTTAAAGAGTCTGTGGCTTTTCTACTGCAAGTTATTCACAAAGCGTGTAATGTGATAGATAGTATGGTGAGTTGTAGGGACAGTTTTCAGAACTCAAACGATAAGTAACTCGACAAAAAACTTAAAACAATTTTGATAATCATTTAAGTAATTCTTCAAGCAAAATAATCAGTTTCAGCTTGAGGATTAAGATCACTGGGTTTTGGCCTGTTTCTGGCCTGATATGTTATAAACCAAACAATTAATCAATTAATAGAGACATTTTTAGAGACATTTCTATTGGTTGCAGCCCTTAAGTTTTTATCTTTGCTTCTATGTACCCATAATTCTCTAAAAGTCCTGGTCCAGGTGAGGACATTTTAGGTTATTCAGTTTGCAAGGTAGCAAAAGGGGCTTACATCATCCAGGCCTTTGCCCCTAGTAGTGAAAGCCAGTATCTGGCATTTTGAGATCATGTAACCTGACTGAGCAAGATATTTTGTTACACATAACCATCTAGGAAGTTGACCTTGGAAACAGTTTGGAAAAGTGCAGGCACTTGCAAAAAATACTTAGCAGGTCATAAGATGAACAACCACCTATCACGGGCACATTTCAACCAATAAGATCAAAATATTTATAACATAGTCAAACTCTTACTGAAGCCGGGAAGAAAAGAGAAAACATCTTGGTTCAATACCATGCCTTGTTCTGACCAAACTGAAATGTTTGAAAAATGGTCAGCAATAATGTCAGGTAAAGGCAATTTACCATAAATTAGATTAAAATGCAAAGCTAATGGTATCTGGAGTCCTTTAAAGATCTATCTCTGGCACTAACCCACAAGACTTGTGGTGTGATATTATATATATATGTGTAAAGCTTTTTCTGGCCACGGAAATTATAATAATAAGGGTGGTTTTAATGAATGCTATAGCAGGATGATACAAACATTTAAAATGAAGGCAACTTGTATCATGTTTAACATGTCTTTCTCAAGAATGATTGATTCCACACTCAGTAACCAAATAACTCTCTAGAAATAGAGAGACTGAAAGCAATATGGAAGCAAAGTGCAACATGTCAACATTTCCTAGTTGTCTTTGTGTGGGCTGGTGGTGGTGATGGGGATTTACCTTCTATTACCCGTCTAATGGATTGCACTGACTGTCACCTGTGGCCCTTTGTTTTTTAGAAATTAACAAGTGAAAACATTTAATTCCATAATGAGAAATTCACCAAAACTGCAAGGAATGACAGTTGAAGTACAAGTAATAAATAATTTAGAGATGTGGTTACTGGCAGGTTACAGGAAGTGCAGCCTTATAGAATGAGTTGTCATTGATTTTATAAGGCTTATGATAATATGCTGTTGAGGCGTTTTTGCAGTCATGGGTTTTGACGTCAGACTTTGTACAGGGGAGTTTATATTTAATGTATGTGTGTAAGTGTGGGTGTGTGGGCCAAGCCACTGGGACACATTTCAGACTAACTGGGTCAGTAGTTAAGGTTAGGTTAAGGTTAAGATAAGAGTTGAGATTAGTCAAATAGTGGTTATGATTAGGGTTAAAATAAAGTCCAGATGAAATGGAAAATGCATTTTTAACATTGTATGCCAAAAAGTTTTTATATCTAAATCCAATTATTTTGTCTTCCTATAAAACAAAATGTGATTTGTGCTTACATAACCAACCAATTTGAACCAATAATGACATCCACAAATCAATCAATTCTCAACTCTAAGAGACACAGAGCTAAGATTAATTAGTTAATGTTAGCTAGCTAGCAACATCATGGCTTTGAAAATCATCATATATTTATGGCAAAATATTTGTACGCTGGGACTGAACAATGCCTCTGAGACAGTCTGCAGCCAGTTTTGATGACAGTGGTACCGAGGTCACTTATAGAGTTTCCTGATGGATTAACAGTAATGTTAGCTGCTGTAAGCTAGTTAGCTTGTGCAGTTAATGCTAGCTGACTCAGCTTCGGTAAAAAAATAAACATGGTGCTGTATTCCCTGTTGTCAAACTGTCCTCTGTCTGTATCGGATGCTGTATTCATCCCGGTCTGGCTGTGCTGTTCACTGGGAGCTCTCACTCCGGCAGAGTCAGCTGATAGGACCGCAATAGCTGCATGCCTTGGGACATAACACACACATTGACACAGCTTGTCAAAGTTACGAATGACTAAAAATGTTTAATTACCTATCATTATCATTCTATCCTTTAATTACTGTATTGTATCTCATCTGTTATTTAAACTACTGAGCTATGGACTTTTACTTTCTGTGGATTTGGTTGCATTTGAGTAACAAATGCAAGGAATCACTGAATTGAGAACTGTAGCAGCCTGTCTAAGAAAACAGTTTTTGAGTTTGGCTGCTTTGGTCTTTGGTCTTGGAGGATTATAGACATTCCTACAGGAATAAAATGAATGAGCATTTCTTAAGTTATTTTTGTCTTTGTCCAAACCAGTTCTCAATTGTACAACAATTAACATTTTTATTGCTTAATATGAGACAGTTTAAGTTTTATCTATGTCCCCTTAAATCATGTAACGTGTAAATGCCCAGATGCATAACTTGTTAGAAGGTGTTTTCTGAAGTGGTTCTCTTACTTTGCTTCTCTAGACAAGTGTTTTCATTTCACACAGGAAAAAAGAAACGCATAATGCCATTCATAATTTCTTGCCAATGTATTACTTCAGACTGGAGGGGATAACATCTGTCTGTACTCTTCATATGTTTTCTTCATATTCATTGATCAACATAAGTTTGTCCTCATCCCTCCACCTTGGCTCTTTTTGTCACCACATTATTTATAATATACTGCACAATACAGGGACATTGACAACCACTGAATTAAAGTATATGACTTGTTTTATTCTATATTTTTGTCTCTATGAACTCTGAGCTCCTAACCCATTGGTTCCTACTAAAGACATCTTGTCATGAATGTATGCTTTCTTTTTAAGTATTCAAGAGTAAATAGTGCATTTGTTGAGGACTATTTTCAGCTGTGGATTAAATTGAGTGAGTGAGTATTTGGCGCAAGCAGGACTCTGTATGTGGGATTGAGTCCAAATAAACTACAGTGTGTATTCATGATAATAAAGGAACATGTCACCCAATGTAATAGTGTGGTTCACTGATGTGTTTTTTTTGGACAACAATAGAGCTTTATGTCCAGGGCAAGATAGATCAGGCTTTGGATACACATGGCAATACCTGTTAGGATACATTCATTGTTGGCTTGGGTTTTCTAATGGGATTTGTTAACAGTAGAAAAAATGTCACCAGACTTATCCATTAAAGTTTTTAGCCACTAGTAGGGCTATGGAGCAATGTTTTTTTTAATGAGCAGGTTTGATTCACATGGGCAATACTATTTACCTCACAGTAGGACTGTATTAGAGATATTCTTGATAGAATCTTAAAGATCCCCTCAGTGTATGTGCATTTGACTTCATAATAGGGCTGCACAATTAATCTGTACATGAATTAAAATATTATTGAAATCACAATATGAAAAACTGCAATATCCAAATCGCAGAAGCTGTAATGTGTTGGTAAAGATAAGATGTGTGACTAACAACATTAAAATGAAGTACTGTAGTGCGGGCTACTGTAGTCCTGGCCTACAAATCTTGTTCTTCAGATTGTTCGGTACAGACCGCAGCAAATGTTTAACATTGAATTAACCAATGAAAATTCAAATTGTGATACAAAGAAGATCATTCCCAGACCCCTAATCGTGACTCATATCACAATATCTATCAGAATAATCACAATATGAGGCCTACATTGTACAGCCCTACTTCCAAACTTTATGTGATGTCACAAATCATGCCGTAGGTCCCGCCCCTAAATCAGATTTTCAATGAGCTCAGAGAAAACGCTGCACATACATCATTCAAACATCACACTGCAGGAAAGAGAAGCTGACTGGAGGAGGACTTTATGTAAAGTTTTAAGGAATTAAAGTAATGAATAGAAAGATAAATCTAAACGAGACAACGTATCTAATATGTGCAACTGGTGTTACTGTTTATGACAATTTGACTACTGTGCCAGAATCCACACAATGTGTCATATAAAATCAGGCTAAAATGAGTGTTTTACTAAGTCTTGGCTGGTTAAACTCTGTCTGTGACCTACATACATGACTACTTTCTCTCAGGTGAACAATACCTTGGAAGCTGCATGTAGGAAACAGCCTGCTTCCACCTAATCACTTAATCCTAATTCTAGTTTCCCATGCAAATTAAAGTTTCATCGTCAGAGAGTGTAACCCAAGAAAGGCCAGAGCAGTTCTTTATTTGGAGCCCTTTGGATACAGTGGCTTTATAGTGACGTAGACTGATGAAGGCCCTCATAGGCCTGGCCAGGTATTTTCTGGAGCTGAAAAGCTTCCTTTGTGGTGCTCACCCAACTCATCCTTGAATGTGCTGGTTGAAAATATTCCTTATCAGTGCTGGGGGCATTTGATTTGAGAGTGGTCCGTGTTGATGCTGAACAGTATTTTCATTCTTTCTAGGAAACTTTCATGAACTATTACGAGCTGGTTTGCTTTAGTCAGTACCCAATTTCCATCCGGGGATTAATAAAGTCTATCTATCTATCTATCAGTAATGAAATGCATGGTAAACATACCTAAACTTTAGCTTACATTAAAACAGAGTCATGACTATTAAAACAGTTTGCCTTATTTAAATGCTCATGGTGTGTCATTACCACCCAGTTTTACTGTCTACATTAACATGTCCAGACTACCTCGTACTCTCCAGAATGTACTTGTTGGCAGAAGGATGTGGTTTTTCTGTGCATCTCTGTGGTTGAAACTCGTGACATGTAGGAAGGGGATGAGTGAGTACAGCTGAAAGAATATATTCACTATACTGAAGCCTCTTCATTTTTTGTAACAGACAGAACCAGCTCTGAACCTGTGGAGGACACAGACACCACCAGCTTTGAAATTGTGAGTACCTTTACAGTACATGTCTTCTATCCAGTTTGCTTTGTGCTGATTTCTCATTGTTCTTCCTCAGAAAGCAGAGTCTTGCAGTAATCTGCTAAGAAATGTACCATAACCAAACATACTGTGCTGTGATTGCTAGTGCCCAAGGGCTAATTGAAGAACAGGTTGTAGCAGGCACATGATGGAGTCATTTTCTTTCATAGTTGAAGACTACATCTTGAATGTTGCCTCAGTCTCAAGAACAGACTGAATACAAATCTCCTAAGAAGAGGGTTAACAGAGCAGATCAAACTTGTGTTTCACAGGTTTAGTTATTTTACTTTCTAATATGATCTTGTCTGCCCTTGTCTCTCCCACAGTCCTTGGAGGCCAATTATCCAGTGCAGGTGACAGATCCCCATGGTAAATAACTGAGACGAACCACAATAGTCCATTTTACAAAGCATATGTGGACATACTATTTCAATTATACTATTCATACATATTGTAAATTTGTCACCTTTTATGGCCAATGAGAGGTAATACTTCAATTAATAGTGTAGCCTTTTATTTGCTCCAGTCACTGAACTCAACCTGCCTTTATTTGGAACAGGCCTCTGTAGGCGACAGGCCTTTAATTCCTTTTGCACAAATACTATCAAATTGTTTATTTAAACCAGTATGAATAATATTAGAATAGGAAATGATAATTAAAAAATGGGATTTAATCTGTTTTATACATCCAAAGAACTTAAAGTAACTATAAAAGTAACTGAGACCTGCTGTTATTTGTCAGGGATGGGACTGTAGTGAAGACACTGGGATGTTACTGTATATGGCGTTAGTTCAGGGGCTATCACTGAGTTCACACCGGGGTGCCGGCCAGAACACCAACTTAAGGCTAATTAATGCTCAGAGGTCCACAATGAAGAAGCAGGTGATGGATAGTGCAGGTGGTTTAATATCCTCTTGCTGGCAATGAGGTCATGTGGTTTTTCTATAGCAAAGGAACAATAACAAATATACACAAATGAATAAGAATAAAGCTCTTAATCACTAATAAACATACTAAAGGAGTACTGAAATTACTACATCCCCAAAATAACAGTTCTGAAACACTCTTCACCTGACTTACTAGCATATTAACACACATATAAACAACATCACATGGTAATATTTAAGTACCACTCACTGTAAGCATTACACTAGCGAGTCGGAGCGATAACAATAACGTAACATGTGACATGACGTACACTTGATCAGAGGCAGGTGAGCTAAATGCTACAACTAGCTTAAACAGTGACCACATGGCAAGTCTGACAGCTACACATCAGAACAACAAATAAACTATAGCTGCAGCAACGTAAACACAGTACATCAACAATATATCCGGACATACTCACTTTCCATCCACGCACAGACCACTTGCCGTTGCGTTAATTGTTAATTGAACCGTGAATCCCTCACTCTGCCGTCTCACCGGAGCACACACCTCTCTGACCAAGTACCGTCAGTTACGCTATATAACCAGCAGGGGGGGGGCGCTCATATATGAGCTGACCAACACTACATCTATGAAATCACACACTAAACATAATATGTCCCAACTTTGAGGCCTTTTCTACAGCCGCCCCCAAATGTAGGTTATACATTTGCTCATCACTAAGGCCACAAAGTCTATGGTTGGGATGAGGTTGTAGGAGGGGATTTGTTCTCATCGTCTCCAGACGGAAGTGCAGGGAGGACAACCAGCCTGGCCACCGGCCGGGTGTAAACCCTTTCTCTCACTTTCACATCAGCTGACCGGATGTGTCCATCGGGGCTCAGATGAGTCTTGATCACTCTCCCTATGGGCCACAGGGCCCTGGGTAGTTGTGGATCAGCGATCATCACCACACAGTCTTGAACGATGTCAGCTGGTGAAGCCTGCCACTTCTGGCGAACTTGAAGACTTGGCACGTAGAGCCGGATGAAACGAGCCCAGAAGTGATCAGCCAGAATTTGGGAGTGCTTCCAACGGCGGCGACTGATGAGCTCATTCCCTGGGTAGACTACTTGAGGTAACGACCCGTCCGGCCGCCCCATCAGAAGAACATTGGGAGTCACTGGGTCCGGGTCACTGGCATCGGAAGACACATATCCCAGGGGCTTACTGTTAAGAATCCCTTCCACCTCAGTGAGCACCGTGTGAAGCACTTCTTCTGCGACTGGTTGAGCACCCACGGTGACATAGAGTGCGCTCTTAACTGAGCGTATCTCCCTCTCCCACACCCCTCCGAAGTGGGGGGCTGCTGGGGGGTTAAAGTGGAATGCAATCTTATGTGGTGCAAGGTGCTCCTGTAAGGGTGGAGAGATCTTAGTGAAGGCTTCCCGGAGTTCCCTCTCTCCTCCCTTGAAGTTCGTTCCCTGATCGGAGAACAGCTCTGCAGGTTTTCCTCTGCGTGCGATGAACCGACGAAGGGCCATTAGGAAGGCATCCGTATCAACGGCGGTAAGGAGGTCCAGGTGCACTGCCCTGGTGGTAAGGCACTTGAAGATGATCCCCCATCTCTTCTCCCGCCGCCGGCCCACCTTGACTTCAAGGGGTCCAAAGCAGTCCATCCCTGTAGAATAAAAAGCAGGCTTGAACAGGCGCAAACGGGCTGATGGGAGATCGGCCATCTTTGGTACGGCTGGTTTGGCTCTCCAGCGCCGACAGTCCGCGCAGCCGTACTGGTGGCGCCGAACCGCCTCACGCCCTCGCAGGATCCAGAAAGAGCGGCGAAGCTCAGCAAACACCCGCTCTGGACCCGCGTGATGGAGTCGGATGTCAACGTCCTGAATTAAAAGCTTAGTAGCTTGATGGTTTGGGTCTAGGATGACTGGATGAATAGTGGTCAGCTCCAGGTCCTCTGATCGACGTAGACGTCCTCCAACACGGATGAGCTCTCCGCTCTCATCCAACTCAGGAGATAGCGTGAGAAGTCGGCTACTTCTAGGGACTGGCTTCCCCGCTTTCAGTAAACTGTACTCTTGTGGGAAACTATCCATCTGAGCTCTCTGAAGGATCAACCGCTCAGCTTGGCGATGATCCTCGGCAGTAGGGTGACCTTTGCAGTCGGTCGCCCCATGCAGCTCCCACGCTGTCGCCTCCAGCAGTTCCCTCCAGGAGTTGTACTGGTTAAGGTCTGGAGCAGGCTGACTTGATACTACTGCTGCGACCCCACAGAAGACAGACTTACGCAGCTCTGAAACATCATGGGCTTGGTCAACTGAAGGGTCCTCTGGCCACAATTCTGGACCCAGTAAGAGAAAAGAGGGTCCCTTACTCCATCTGTTGGGCTCAACTAGTTCCCTCAGCCCTTTCCCTCGAGTCACATCATCAGCGGGGTTGTTCGCCGAATCAACATATCTCCAAACATGCCCGTCGGTCAACTCCTGAATCTCAGCCACACGGGTGCCAACGAAGACCTTGAATCGGCAGGATTCCGATTTCAACCATGTCAGCACGGTGGTCGAGTCAGACCACAGGATCATCTGGTCGATGTTGAGCGTGAGTTCTCTACTTAGAACTCGTGCGAGCTGTGCCCCGGTTAGGGCAGCACAAAGCTCTAATCGGGGCATGGAGTGTGACCGCTTGGGAGCGACTCTGGAGCGAGCCATCAGGAAGGAAAGATGCACTCCACCATGTCGGTCAGTGGACCGGAGGTACGCGACAGAGCCATACGCTTCTTCAGAGGCGTCGCAAAATATGTGTACCTCTCTGTGAAGACTGCAGAGGTCCACCTCCTTAGGTAAGTACGGTCGGGGCAGGGTGACCTGTGGTAGGACGTCCAATTCATCCTCCCAAGCTTGCCACTGCTGCAGAAGCTCTTGGGGCAGTAGTGGGTCGTCCCAGCCCCGGTGCTTGTCCCAAAGATGGCGAACCAGTACCTTAGCCCGGGTGGTGTAGGGCAAGATGAACCCCAAAGGGTCATACTGACTTGCAAGAACCTTGTATATGTTGCGCATTGTGGGGGCACCATAATCCACTTGGCGGTGCTTATAGCCGAGGATGTCAGTGTGGAAGAGCCAGCTCAACCCCAGCGTGGACTCTGGAGTGTCAGTCTTGTCCTGAGCTAGCCAGAGCTCCACGCTAGCAGAACGGCTCTCTTCAGGTAGGTGACCTATGACCTCTGGTTCGTTGCTGGCCCATTGACGTAGCTCAAACCCAGCGGATGCCAAGATGGTCCGCAACTTGTCCACCAGGTGCCTTGCCTCGGCGATGGTGGGCACGCTCTGGAGGCAATTGTCCACATAAAAACACCTCTCTACTGACATCCTCACGTCTTCCCCCGGCTGGCTGTGGTCATTGACGTGGCGCTGTAAGGCGAACGTGGCACAGCACGGACTACACGTCGTTCCAAACGGTAGTACTTGCCACTCATAAACCGCAGGAGGTTCCCCTCGGCTGACATCACGCCAGACAAAGCGGAGGAGGGCACGATCTCCTGGGAGGAGGCGAACCTGGTGGAACATGCCCTTGATGTCTCCACTGATCGCTACTGCATGTTCTCGGAAGCGTAGCAGGACTCCCAGAAGTGATACTCCTAGAGTTGGCCCAGGTAACAGGTAATCATTGAGGCTCTGTCCTCGGTACTGGTAGGAACAGTTGAAGACCAGTCTATTCTTGCCATTATGACGTACCATATGGTGTGGGATGTACCAGGCCTCACGACCCTCGTCAGCTGGTGCTTCAGGGCCACACTTGATGACAGAGCCTGCCTTGATCAGTTTCTCCATCTCCACTCTGTAGGCTGCAGACTGAGCAAGGTCCTTGGCCAGTCGCCGTTCCACGCCTCGCAAGGTGGGCATGACAGCTTCTTTGGTAGCATGAAAGAGCGGCATGTCCCTCCGGCGCAGCAGTGGGGTGGCATAACGGAGAATGCCCTTGACCTCTACTCTGGTGGTCTTGGTCTCGAGGATACTGATGGCTTCATGGTCTTGCTTTGAGCGGGTGGCGAGCTTCTCGCTCCTGAATGGGACCATATCAACCTGCCATAGTCTCTCAACATGTCTCATCAGTTCGCAGCTTGATGTGACCGTGCACAGCGCCAACACCTCTTGTTGCTCCTTATCCACTCTGTTAGCTGATCCTTGGTCAGCCTGGAAACTGCTGCACACTGACTGAGATAGTGCTCCTCATTATTGCAGAATGGACAGTAAGGCTTACTCTTGTTCCCCTTAAAGGAGCTGCCTGGGATTTGACCTTCTGGCTTCTTGTCTGCATTGTTCCCACTATGGAGCACGGTAGTGGGCCGATTACTCTGGCGACCATCAGGTCGGGGCACTGGCCTCTCCCTAGCCCCTTTCACTGCTAATTGTCCTTCAGAGTCCTGACACCAGGACTCATACTTCAGCCACTCTGATAGATCAGGTAAGGCATGAGTTTGTGTGCCTCGATGGAACATGCAGCGGCGAAACTCAGCTCTCTGCTCAGGTGGTAATTTGCTCAGCAGGCGGGCAACATGTGAGCCACACTGTAACTCTGCTTCTCCCTCAAGGCCTAATGTCCTCAACATTCCCACCAGCGACTGTACCTGGAGTGAAAACTTCTCAAATGCAGCAACATCTCCCCGCCTGATATCTGGTGAGTCCAACACAGCAGCAATACGCCTCAATGCAATCTGATGTGGTTGACCAAACTTATCATTCAAGGCCGCCATCGTGTCAGAGAAGGGTGTTGGAGAGTTGAGGTAAGCGTCTGCTATCAACCGAGCCTCTTCTAGTTGCAGGTGATCGACCAAAACTTGATACTTAAACAGCTCAGTGGCTCCTGGTGGTAAGAGGTTCTCCAATGACAGCCTCAGCCGCGCAAACTCGCTTGGGTCACGATGGGAGAAGTTGCGAATGGTTGGGCGGGGTCCATAGTAACTGGACTCTGGAATATGGGAGGTCCTGTTTAGAGGCAATGGTTGTGGTTGCATCCAGGACCCACCATTAGTCTGCTGGGGATTGCATCCCGGCGTGCTCTTGATAACACTACAAGCTGCAGAATACTTAGGCTCAGCTGGAGGCAAACTGAAGGACTGCAATGGAGGCTGAACCGGCTTAAACCAGGGACGTTGATAAGAATCAGAGTTTGGTGGTCTGGTATCAGGAACGATGCCATATGCTGACTGCTGAACTTGTAGTAGGCTCTTAGGCGGCTTAGCAATAGGGGCCGATATAACTTCTTCTCTATCATATGGAAGCTCGGCTGTTGCCTGAACACTGTGATGTGGCGGTGGCGGGGGTGGTTGGTCCCCAGGTGACAGTCCCATCATTGCTGGATCTGGCCACGGGGGGGGAGCAGGCCAGTCATCCTCTTCAGCAGGTGCAGCCGGTGGCGGTGGCTGCTTGGATTCAGGCTGATTTGTATGAGGAGAAGGGCTCTGTAAGTTCCGAACAGCGTCCACTAACTGTCTCATGTCTGCTCGCAGTGCTCTGAGCTCCACCATATCTGATGACATGCTGCGCTGGGTCCGCTGGAGAAGGTGTCTCTCATGTCGGATGTCCTCTAACTCTGTCTTTACATCCTCATGTGGGTGTCTGGTGTGCGGTGCTGGATGTAGGGGAGTGGAGCGCTCATAGAACCGTTCCCCAAGATCACGCTCGGGTGACAGCAGGGGGGCTTGCTGAGTCTCCTGGGTGTACTGTTGGCCCTCGGCTCCATAGCACGAGTCCATCTCATGAGGAATAGCATGCTGTCTCTGCATGCGGCTCAGTAGGGAAGAGTCATAAGCGGCGGTGAGGGGGGTCATCCTGACCATTCCCTCCTGGTGAAGCGTCTCTACGTCCTCTCTGTATCTCTGACTGATATAGCCCAGATTATCCACATCATAATCTGCATAGCGGGCTGGTGGACGAATGTGTCGTCTGGGGCGTGCACCACGTGCTTCGTACTCTGAACGTTGTTCCATCTCCGATGTAAACCCTGTGATCCGGCTCGAAGGACCATCAAATGTAGTGAAGACACTGGGATGTTACTGTATATGGCGTTAGTTCAGGGGCTATCACTGAGTTCACACCGGGGTGCCGGCCAGAGCACCAACTTAAGGCTAATTAATGCTCAGAGGTCCACAATGAAGAAGCAGGTGATGGATAGTGCAGGTGGTTTAATATCCTCTTGCTGGCAATGAGGTCATGTGGTTTTTCTATAGCAAAGGAACAATAACAAATATACACAAATGAATAAGAATAAAGCTCTTAATCACTAATAAACATACTAAAGGAGTACTGAAATTACTACATCCCCAAAATAACAGTTCTGAAACACTCTTCACCTGACTTACTAGCATATTAACACACATATAAACAACATCACATGGTAATATTTAAGTACCACTCACTGTAAGCATTACACTAGCGAGTCGGAGCGATAACAATAACGTAACATGTGACATGACGTACACTTGATCAGAGGCAGGTGAGCTAAATGCTACAACTAGCTTAAACAGTGACCACATGGCAAGTCTGACAGCTACACATCAGAACAACAAATAAACTATAGCTGCAGCAACGTAAACACAGTACATCAACAATATATCCGGACATACTCACTTTACATCCACGCACAGACCACTTGCCGTTGCGTTAATTGTTAATTGAACCGTGAATCCCTCACTCTGCCGTCTCACCGGAGCACACACCTCTCTGACCAAGTACCGTCAGTTACGCTATATAACCAGCAGGGGGGGGGCGCTCATATATGAGCTGACCAACACTACATCTATGAAATCACACACTAAACATAATATGTCCCAACTTTGAGGCCTTTTCTACAGGGACATTTATTAAACATTTGTGCAGGGAATCTTTCGCTTCATTGACAGTGATAAAAAAATACAGAAGTAACTAAAGGAAAATAAGTGATAGACAGAAAGATAGATAGAGCACTTGTGTGATGGCTTGTTCACACCGCCCACGATTGGTTTTTATTTTGGCGACGATGTTAACAGATCAGAGTGGTCACACTGCCTGCGTAAGACGCACGTCTGCAGTGACGCTTCACTTGAGAGTCCTATTTTTTCCGCAAGTCACGCGTGGCTCCCAGCAAAACAGCACAGTGAAAGGATCTGTTGGTAGTCATATTCAAGTATTTCAGTACAGTTTAAACTTCCTTTTCAAAGTAAAAGCACTTTAGTAATCTTTTATTTTACACAACTTCACTTGTGAAAGAATTTCCGGAAGTGAGCCAGCTGAAGTATGCAGTATCTTTCCCCTGCTCTCTCTGTCTTTCTCTCTCTCTCTCTCTCTCTCTCTCTCTCTCTCTCTCTCTCTCGGGTAAACAAACCGCTGGTGCTTTCTGGTTAGCACTCCTCACATTTACGTTTAAACTGTAAGGCATTGTTAATTAAATGACATGAACATTTAGATTGTTTATGGGCATTATACAGGGGAAAGTGTATGTGGAAACATAGGGCAGGTCACAGCCACTTATGCTCAGGCGGCTTATGTGAACAGGGTGTTACAGCAGCCAGGTCACATAAATGACGAAAACAAATAAGGTACATGAGACCCAAAAAACAATTAAAATCCAAATGAGATAAAATAACTAAAATAGAAAATAAAAACTGAGAATAGATGCTTAAATAGGTGTGACATATACTGATGGAATTGGATGAAATGTGTGCTATGGAGATCTAATTTAAGCCTGTACCAAATAAAGGCCTTGCTGTCTCTGCTGTTAAGGTAAATTCAGACCTGGCCACTATTTAGGAATTTATAGTACAGGTTACATTTTGAAATTCCTTATCTTACTGGAAAAAATGTGTGAGCATATTTGTCAGTGGTTGCAGTGGTTTATTCAGAATATACTGATGTCAGTAATATGTCTCCGACAGATGCTGTGACACTCCACCTAAGCTCAATGCCGTCTGGATACCCCTCCTCAGACAGAATAAGACAGGTCAGTAACCCCCTTTGATGCATGTGCAACCTGTTTTTGAACATTATTGTCAAATAAAGTTTAGTTTCAGCTTCACTTAATTTTGTCCACACATTTTGTCACTAACCCACTCATTCCGGTCGGCTCATTCTCCATTAGAGTGAATGGAAACGGTGTTATTACAGCTAATGGAGCTCCTCCTGCTGGCCTTTACATAGAATGCAGGTTTTAAGATACTTCCGTGTTGGCTTCATTTGTCAGACCCGGAAGCTCTGTCTAATATATATACTGTCAATGCTGATAACAGCCACCTGTGATGGCACCCACTGTCACTTAAAACGGGTTTTGCGCAAGTTAACAGAACTTTTCTGACACCGGCGCCCCGCTAATCGTGTGGACACAGCAGCAGTTGGTGATTGATTCAGCTTAACCGTTAATTAGGATTTTAATTCGTGTTTCTACATGTTACACTAATAATTGCGAGTTGGTTCCTGTTCTGAGCTCTGTGGGCAGATGCGGGTTTGCAAAACTGGGCCACTGCAGGACAACGCTGTAAATACCCTTTAAGAGGAAGAATTCAATAAAACTGTCAACGTTAATGGATAGCTTAATGAAACAGTTCTAAAGTCAACAGTAAAAACTACCAGTTTTTTCCTACCCTGCCAGAAGTATTGCTTACACACTTTGTACTCTGTGAGTACTTTCTAATTTAGGCTGTGAACATACAGGATGTGGTTTTCTCCCACTGAACTTGAAGGTGCAGCTGTGAGTATTGCTAATAACAGAGCAGACAGAAAGAGTGTTAACGTCATATGAAGCTTTCAGCATTGTTGAAAATAACCATACAAGAAGAGTTAGTAGTGGAAATTTAAAAACAAATGTGTCCATTCCAGCCTGTCCAGTCATCTCTAGCAAAATGTATACACCCCTCAATGGATAGTGTCTAGATTCTCTGTCTGGCCTTATAGTGTGCCACATTCACAGTTGACACACTTCCGCTGACTGTAAGGTGAGAATGACGTTAGGCCACTGAGTGCCTGATACAACAAATCTGCTTTAAAAGAAAGGACAGTAAGATGGATGGCTGGTATATTTCAAAGGGTTGTTTGATTCAACAGCATCACGCTAGGACTGAGATAAAAGCTGAAGACTGTGGTGAAATGTTTTTAAAAACACAATAAATGAACAATGATATATTAAACCTGGCAGCACCCTTGGCCCACTCACTTAAACATTGTATTGGGCAATGTGAGCAATGCTGTAATGTTGAGTAGCCTAACTTGTACTTTTTAGCCATGCTAGAGACATTGCTGTAGGAATGGCAGTGTCAGTCCACCATTATGGTCCAGACTGAACTCTCCACAACTATTGGATGGATTGCGATGAGATTTTGCACAGACATTCATGGTCCTTCTTGGTCCAGTTTGTAAAATTTAGGAGGATCTATTGTCAGAAATTAAATATAATATTCATAGGTTTAGTGTATAATCACCTGAAAATAAGAATTTGTGTTTTTGTTACCTTAGAATGAGACGTTTTTATCTACAGAGGGAGTGGGTCCGCTTCTACAGAGGTCAACCTGTTGAACCATCATGTTTCTACAGTAGCCCAGAATGGACAAACCAAACACTGGCTATAGATAGGGTCTGTCACGTTTTTCACGAGTTTTGTGGTCCCTGTAGTTTCTCCTACACACTTGGAAGGCTAAGCTGTATTCAGATGGTTGTAATCTGCAACTTCACCACTAGATGCACACTGATCTTTAAAGGAGGAATTGTTGGTGATGCCCTGACTTTTCCTCTAGCGTGCTAACACACTAAATAAGATGGTGAAAGTTCTAAACATGAGCATATTAGATATATATATCATGATACTATATATATGTTTATTGTGATGTAAAATAATATTATATAATATAATAATATAATAGATGATTTGTTGATTCTGATACTACTACTTTTTGGTGTAAAGCCTTAAATGTGAGAGGACAATGGTGACTGTTTCTAATGTCTGTTTGCAACTGAGTTTGAGCATTTGAATGAAAATGACAGAGTCAGAACATGAATGTGATGTAACTACAGTAATCACTTGTGTTTCTCTGTGTTGTAGCCGGTTGAAGATGTCGAATGCCTGTGCCCAACATCAATTTCACCAGGTAAATCAATTCCTATGATAGTACACCCGAAATGGCCATACTTTCTGATGGCCACCAGGAGGCAGATAGTCTTGTAACTAAATAAATTAATGAAATTAGGTTTTTTAATTTTTTTAATTTTGTCTTTTATTATTAGTATGCTTTGTACATTTGATGTTCATATACTGTGGATTGCATGTACGCAATGTACACATACAAAGATCACACATCTTGAGCTAATTCCATCATCTTTGTCCATCTTTGAGCTCAGACTACCCCAAAGAACTGCAGTTACTTAACAGCCCCTGTGAAAAATGCTGCTGCCCAGCCCCTCCTCCCAAGATTAGTGACCTCATGAATGACAAAGATCTCCTGGACTTACTGCGGCTCAAACTGGACCCAAACCACTGCACCATCAAAAACTGGAAGAACTTTGCGAGTCGCTGGGGGATGAGCTACGATGAACTGACCCTGCTGGAGCACCGGACGCAGGGCTCCTTGTCCCACAGCCCCACCCAGGAGTTCCTGCTGCGCTACAACCAGAAGACGGTCACTGAGCTCACTGAACTTTGCCGCATCTACCAGCGCATTGATGTGCTGCGACTGCTGCAGAGCTGGATAGAGAAGGACTGGCCGTCACGCTGGCAACAGACTCTTTAACAAGTTTGACTCACTGTATATTTATCCCGTCTCTTTTTTGTCTTCTGTCAGGGTTGTACTTGTTAGGGATTTCTCCTTCTTCACATTTTACCAACATTTTATCATTAGTAACTAGTGTTTAAGAAGTGCTTTTTTTTTACCTTTATTAGACACAGTGAGGCAGGCAGACAGGAAATGGACGAAGAGAAAGGGGCATGACATGAAACAAAGGTTGTTAAGCCCCCATGAAGAGTGCTGGGCTTTTATTATTTTACATAGTGGCTGTGTAATCACAGCAATACCATCCGTCACATTATGCACACTGGCCCAAAAATACTTTTTCCTATAGGGTTACATTGTGGCTGTAAACCAGTGGATAAATTGTTTTCACAACCCCTGCAAAATGACTCTATGTCACTATCAGAGTGTGATTCATTCAGTTCAATAGCATTTGGAAAGTCTAGAAGACCCGCACAATTTTATCCCTGTTCAAGTTAGCAGAGAATCAGCTCGGAAGTCTCTAGTGTGCTTGCCCCACAATACAGAAGCAAAATTTTATACTGGGAAATCAAACTTCTTTGTCTTAATGCATCACTTAGCAACTTCCATAAGAATAAACAGAGCTCAATCTCCAACAATGTATCTAGTACTCCTTTAACACATCCATTGGGATGGAGTCAAACCAAAGATGATGTGGATCTGGCATGTAATGTAACCATTTGGCTACCAAGGCACTCCAGCAAATGATCTTAAGAAAAAGATAAAACAATGACCAATAAGTGAAAAGTGAAGCATCACTGTGTGCTTCATGAATCACAGGATTTAATTGATTTCACATTTGTGGTTTGTTTAGATAGATTGTCAAGAAATTTTTATTATTTTATACTTTGGTTTATGACCAAATAACTGAAAAACTGACATGCCCATCATCCTTAGCTGTACTTTGTGTTCAGTGTTAATAAGCAAATATTAACATGCTAACATGCTAAATTAAGATGGTGAACACTGAACCTGCTATATATTAGTAATGTTATTTGCATTATATGCATTACATGCATGTTAGCATGCTGACATTGGCGTTAGTATAGCATCACTGAGCCATGACTGTAGGCTCTTAGTCTTGTTAATGTGCATCTGACTCCATATGTCTGGATAACAAGCAAAGCACAAAGGCAATGGCAGAATATTTATTTATTAAATATTTTGTCTTATTTTTGGAAATAATACTAATAAACATGTCAGCAGGATGAGTGTCACATCTTTTGAGTAATAATCACATTGGCTGTGTCTTAATGACTATGAGCCATGTGGGAAATATCACAGCAAATGATAGTGAGATTTTAACAACTAAAGTAATTGTTAAATAGAAAACCCCTTAATTTAGTCCAACAGACCTAAATATTTTCTACAAAAAAACAAACTAAAACTTTTAATGCTCACATTCCTATTTTTGGTCAATTAATTCTCTGTTTTTTTACATACTGGATTTCTTTTTTATTATACTTCCTTTCTCAGTATGAAATAAACACATCCATCTCTATAAAAGCTTTTGTCATTTTTAAAGTAAAATTAAGGACATCGTCAACCTCAAAGACATCTTTCTGTTAAAACATACACAGTTATAACAGGCTTTTTGTTTTTTAATAATAATATTTTGATCTTTATTTATCATGTTAATCAAGTAAGTTAGTCAAGAATCACAAACATACTGAGTATATTGAGTTATTTATTGAACAAAAAATTAACAAATACATTCACTCACAATTCACTTATCATTTAAAAATGTTATGGTAAAGTAATGCACTTCTCAGAAACCTTAACAGTTCAATGTGATCACACACAATACTGAGGCAGTTACTTAAGTAACTTCCAAATCAACGTTGAGAAAAAAAAAAAGCTTATATAAATAACAGGAATATAAACATTATACAAACAGGTTTCTTCATTAGGCTACCTGAAGTTATATTATCTAAAAAGGATACTGTAGCTGGCATTATCTGCAGAAAACTGTGGCAAGGGTAAATAAAACAGTTTACTTCTCTCTTTATTGTCACAAATATGGCATTGAATTGGTTTAGTTGTTTACATGTTTAAAGTTTACATGTATTTACAATGCTTCTGGACTGAAGCTTTATTCATCAGGTTAGTCTAGCAGGAATCAGTCAGCATCTGAATCCTTGATATTAAGGCCAAGCATATTGGAGAGGCTCAATGACAATTTGTCATTTTCATCTGATGTCAAAATTTCAGGGGTTACCAGGTCCAGTCCAGACTCTGTTTTTTCTACTTTGAAAGTACCTCCTCTCACCAAAGAGGAATCTCCATCTTCTGTAGAGGCACTGACATCAAGACTTGGGGCAGTAAGCTTCAGATCAATATCAGTTTTTGCTTCAGTTGGTGAGACATTAGCTGAGGGTGCTTTTTCTTTTGCCATTTTCAATCTCTCTATAATGTCAATCTTTTCTCCTGTTTTTGATGTTGCATTTACTACTGGCAAGCGGATCCCTTTTCTGACAACATAATCCTTTGCCTCTGTGTCAAGTTTTGATAAACCCAAGGTATCAGGAATTCCTCCAATGCCGTCAATGCTGTTCCTGGGCAGTCTGTGGAATTTGAATGCAGGAACCTCCACCTCAGCACCAGACACCTCAGTTTCAGAGTCAGCACCACTTCCCTCTTCATCAGAACCAGACTTTAATCCCCATTTGAAGGGCCATCTCAGCTTACTTTTCGGAGAATCTTTAACTTCAGCATCTGCTTTAGCTGTGATATCCAGTTCAGGTGTGTTAAGGCTTGTCTTCACTTCAGGAGCAGAGACACTAACATGAGGTGAACTGATTTCTCCTTCATGACTGGGAGCTTTGACCTTCACAGGTGAGACTTCAAGATTTGCACTGGTATCAACCTCTGGACCTTTTATGTTAGACCCTGAAAGATGTAACTTTGGAAGCTTGAAATGTGGGAATTTTGACTTTTCAAGATTTGCATCTACATTTGGAGCTTTCACATTTATTTCATTTCCTTTAATATCTCCCGCTGCCTTTGGTACACTCAAGTCTACCGTAGGAACAGAAATGTTAGCATCTGCTCCAGAAGGATGGATACTGGGAATCTCTACTTCAGGACTTGAAAGATCAAGTTTCGGTTGCTTGAAATAAGGCACTTTAAAGTCACCCAGATGGGACTCGAGATCTAGATCTGGTGTTTTCAATTGTGCATCAGGTGCCTTGAGGACTGCTTTTGGCACATTGATATCCACATTTGGAGCATTCTGTGTGACTTGGTGATCAGGTGCTTCAAGTTCAGCTTTTGGCAACTTTGTGGTTATGTTTGCTGCTGAGAGGTTCCCGTCAATTTTTGGTGGAGACAGGCTGAGATCTGGTGCTTTCAAGTTGAGGTCAGGTACCTGAAGGTCTGCATTGGGTAGATCCAGACTTGGCCTCTTTACATCAGCATTCAGATCTAGATCTGGAGTAATGAGATTTCCTTTAATTGCGGGGGGGGCAGGAAGATCCAGATCTGAACACTTGAGGTCAGCATCAACATCAAGATTAGGTCCTTTTACCCTTGATTCTGATAAGCCAAAGTTTGGCAATTTCATATTGGGTAACTTGAATTTTCCAGCTGAGGCGTCAACTTCTGGAGCTTGAAGGTCTACATCAGGGCCTTTGAGATCAGCTTTTGGTAAACTAATGTCAAGATCTGGTGTATCAAAACGCCCTTCAATTTTCTTTGCAGACAAAGAGAGATCTGGTGCTTTTAAGTCTACATTAGGATTGGCATCAATGTCTGGTGCTTCTAAAGAGGCATCCAATTCAGGACCCTTGACTTTGGGCACTTTTAATTTTGGTAGTTTAAATTTAGGAAACTTCAGTTTACCATCTGGTGATTCAAGGTTGAGATCTGGACCATTAAGATCCACATCTGGACCTTTGACATCAGCATTAGGCATGTTGATATTGAGGTCTGGAGCCTTAATCCCACCCTCAATTTTTGGTGCTGAAAGATTTACATCTGGTGCACTCAAATCCACATCAGGCGCCTTGAGGTCTACGTCTGGTACCTTCACATCAGCATCAGCCTTTGGACCCTTCAGTGTGCCAAATTTGGGTTTCTTGAAGTTGAGCCATTTGAATTTTCCAGATGGGCCTTCAACATCTGGAGTATCAATGTCTAAATTGGGGGCTTCTTGGTCAGCCTTTGGTAAGTTTAGATTGACATCTGGTGCATTTATGTCACCTTCAATCTTTGGAGCTGAGAGACTCAAGTCAGGGGCTGAAACATCAGCATCTAGACCAACATCTGGACCATTAACCTTAGGACCTGAGACAGTCCACTTTGGCTTTTTAAGAGTGGGCCATTTGAACATCCCGGATGGAGGCTCAATGTCAACATTTGGTGCTTTAACATCAACATCAGCTGTGGGCAAATTCAGATCAACGTCAGGTCTATCAAATGATGCTTTAGGAGAGAGCTTGAGGTCAGGTGCTTCCACATTAGCATCAATGTCAACATCTGGGGACTTCACCCTTGGTAGCAAAAACTTGGGCTTTTTGAGTGTTGGGAACTTGATTTTGCCAGAAGGGGCCTCAATGTCAAAATCTGGTGCTGTAACATCAACATCTGCTTTGGGTAAATTCAGATCAACGTCTGATGTGCTAATCCCACTATTAATTTTTGGAACAGAGAGATCAACATCTGGTGTGCTCAGATCTGCATCAAGGTCCATTTCAGCTTTGGGGCCATGAAGTTTGGGTTTCTTCCACTTCAGATGAGGCCAATTAATTTTCCCTGATGGAGCATCAATGTCAAGATCTGGGGTCTGAACGGCATTTGGTAGATTCAGCTCTGCATTTGGTGGATTAATGTCACCATCAATTTTTGGAGTTGAGAGATTTAAATCAGGTGTGTTAAGATCTGCATCTATGTCTAAGTCTGCTTTTGGGCCTTTGGGCTTCTTCCATTTCAGATGAGGCCAGTTGATTTTACCAGATGGAGCCTCTATATCAGTATTTGGGGCTTGCATGTCTAGATCAGGGCCTTTAAGGTCAGCCTGAGGGAAATTTATGTCAACATCTGGGGCATTTATTCCACCTTCCACATTTTGACCAGATATATCAACATCTGGTGTGTTCAGATTTGCATCTAAGTCCAGATCACCTTTTGGGCCATGAATTTTGGGTTTCTTCCACTTTAAATGAGGCCAGTTTATTTTACCAGATGGGGCATCAATGTCAAGATTTGGGGTTTGAACATCTAGATCAGGGCCTTTGATGTCAGCCTTGGGAATGTTAATGTCAACATCTGGTGCACTTAGATCCCCATCAGTGTTTGGTGTTGAGAGATTGACATCAGGTGCAGACAGGTCAGCATTTAAGTTACCATCTGGTCCTCTAACTTTGGGACCTTTCCATTTTAGATGGGGCCACTTGATTTTGCCTGAGGGTGCCTCAATATCAGCATTTGGGGTTTCTAAATTTACATCAGGCCCATTCAGATCAACTTTTGGTCCATTCAGGTCCAAATCTGGACTTTTAAGATCTAATTTTGGGGCTAACAGATTATGGTCGGGTGCCTCTAGATTTTCATTGACAGAAGGGAGATCTACGTCACCAGAAACATCCATTTCTGCTTTTGGTATTGTGATCTGAGGCAGATTGAAGTGTGGCATTGTGAATTTTGGGGTCTTGTATTTCAAATCACCTGTTTTAATTTCTGGTTTCTCAATGTCAAGCAAGGCGCTGGGAGCATTGAGCTGTGGAGTTGAGACACTAACGTCAGGTGCTTTGAGGGTGCCATCTAGATCTCCTTTTATATATGGTCCAGTTAGTCCAAGGGAGCTGGCATCGGCATCAGCTGAAAGCTTATTCCGGCTGAGACTGGGAAGGTCTCCATTGAGAGTGTGACCACTTATTTCGCCATCCAACCCATTTTTTAGGTTGATCATCTGTTGGTAATGAAATGATAAACAAAGTAGGTTAATATAGATTAAAACAGCTCTTGTGTCATTAATCATTATTAGTGAATTATTAATAGGGTAATTCATTATGCTTTTGCAGTTCCGTTATGATCAACACTGCATCAGATAGTTGCTGTTACTATTAATTCAATTTCTGACAATTAATTTAAATGAAAGAAAGCATTTGTGGCTTTTTCATTGAAAGGTTTGATGAAAATGAACATGATGCGAATTGTGTTAAATTGTTACCCATCTGTATTTAGCCATGCAGATAGTTTTGGTTTTAGAGATTAGATTGGGATTATAACTACTGTTGAGTGAAATCATTTCACAGCCATTAACTAAATGTTATTTTTCTTTGCTGTGAGCACCACAAATGTATTCCAAAACCTTGTAATGTTTACCTCTGCTTGGTCTTTGAGACCTAATCCTATGGAACCAAGGCCAGCACTGGCACTCAGCTCCTTCTTTGTCAGAACCTTCATGTTGTTATCATATGGCTCCAGGACCTTCAGGATGTTCAGCACCTGATTTTTGTTCAGGTGATCAAGGTGTATAGTGGCTGCAACAATCTCATCCCCTGGAA